GAATCGCCTGACCTGAAGGGATAGTGGCGCTGTTTAATATCTGGATGCAATTCGATCGCACTGCTGATCATCCATCCGCGGTCGAATGGTAGTGTTCGACTATCAGCCGAGATGTTACGATTCAGAGCAAGCCTTCACAAGGCTGAAGGTCGGGAGCGAGATGACCCCAGTGGTTAGAGCGCGAATTTACTGACCGAAAGGTCCGTGGTTCAAATCCGATCTCTACCTCCCCTGTCTAGGCTTGAGCAACCTGGCAGTATCCCAGCCCTCGTGTTTACTTCTGGCGGCAGGCAGCTAGGCACCGAAAGGGTGTTACAGCTGAACGATTATCTTTATTATCTCATCTACCTTCCTGTCCTCTTTGCGCCAGTATGAACTGGTTTTCTGCCACACTGCCCTCTTGATAAACCTCGTCTCTCTGTAGCGCGACTTTTTCAGCGAGTGATTCCGTAACCACTCATGGTTGAGCGGTGGAAGTAGAGCACAGTCAAGTGATCAATATCTGCAGCGTGACCCCAAATCGAGTGGTGCGGAACCGTTCTGTCAGTTGAATGGTAGCAAATCTCAACCCTGACCCGCATTATGTTGCTGTTTATCGTACAACTTCCGTTCTCTGTGCGTGACAGTAAATCACGAGCGAACTGTGGTGTCGCTGTTGGACGATACAAGGCTGAACCACTGTCCCCTTTGTTGTGCTTTTCGTGGCGTCGAGAACTGGAAGCGAACTGAGGACTGCTCCGTTTACCGTCCAAAAATGCCACAATTTCGACTCTACCTCATAAGTTTTTGTTTCACTTAGAGTTTTTAAATTTGAACGGCGTTCAGGCTGGCATGGGTTCGTTTTTCGGTAGTGTCCACAAGGTCGAATGACACCTAGCCTTTACGCAGCAGTTTCCAGAACCGAAGCTTATAATGGGATACCGTGCAGCAAGGTGCATCAGTTCGTTTCAGCACATGTTGAATCCAATCAATTTACCAGCCATAAACCGTGCACCAGGCGTACATTGGTTCCAGCTGCTACAGTTTCAATCACCGAGAAGTGGGTTATGCAGCCAGTGATTGGAGGCAATAGCATTTTCAGTTATCTCGGGACTGGGTGACCAGGGATTGAAGGGGATAGCTCTGATACACGAGCCCCATTGACTGTGCGAATGGGCCATCGTTGTCATTATCCTTAACCATTGATGAGCTGATTCCCGGGATCCTCATCCACGTAGGCGGTCCGACTAATTTCACCGGTTAGTGTTTTCATACTTCGTTGCTAGGTCATACACTGTCCGCCTCTCAGTCGCTTCCACTCAGCACAGGGCTGGGTGAAAAGAGCTCTGCCAGGCAGACGTCTGCCTCTGACATGCGGAGATGAGTAGTTCATCTATCGTGGAAGAGTCTGTCATGCAGAGAGACTACTGTGGACATGACGTAAGAGGAAGCTCCATGTTTGACTGTCGACATCTTCGAGGGCGGTAGTCAGTGGATCAGTGCCGCGTCATGTTCACTCTTATATGGCCTTTTAAAAAAACGAGGTAGGGGTTAGTTGGTCTATCTCACCTAAGTTATCACTGTGGATCCAACTAGTCTGTTTCACCTTCTGACCAATCACGCTTCTCCACAATTGGTGGTCCGCGTGATTTGAGTCCCATTTGCTTGAACGGCGAACGTGTTGTTGCGTCAGAGACATACAGGTGATGCGACAACCCATTTCGATAGCGGTACATTCTCCTCGCGACTTGAGTCCAAATACATCTTCCTATTCCGCACACGAGTTGAGGCGGTTCCTCTAGAGACCAGTCAGGGGCTTGGCATATCCATACATGAAATAAAAAATAATCGTTCAGCTGTAGTACCCTTTCGGTTCCTAACTGCCATGCCACCCGAAGGAAGCATGAGGGATAGGGTACTGCCAGGTTGCCCAAGCCTAGACAGGGGAGGTCGAGAGCCAGAGGTCGGGTTCGAACCACGGACCTTCCGGTCAGTAAATTTGCGCTCTAACTACTTAGGCCATCTCGCCTCCGGTAAGCAGAACTAGGCTCAGTAAATCTTGAAAATTTTCTTATCTTGTTGCTCAACAGTGCAATCTGAGGTTGACCTTCAGAAGGTATCGTTTATTGATTATTTTGTATTTTCCGGTGCTCTCTGACACCTGAAAGTCAAATCTGGTTGGCAAACTTGGTCCTAACCCTTGTACTCGCTTTTACCGCACTTGTTTGAATGTGGCGCAATAGATTCCTATCGACGAATCGACTTCAATGAAATGCCGTGTAATAAACAACCGTAGAACATATTTAAACGTTTCCGGAAAACAGTATATTGGAATCACGCTCGACGGTCCTCATTCGCAATTGTCGTTCTTCTCCTCTACAAAAGAACAACACATCGTACTGTCTTGTCGGACACCGCCGTCTATAAGTACGAACCTCCAGAATGCTAATTACGTGCGCACTTTGATCCACATGAGTGGCCGTTCTGGACAGCTGCGCAACTGACGGACTAAGATGCGCCCGGCTAGCATATGCGATAGCTTCCTCCCGGGTGCCGATTCGTGTGGTGAAGAGCTGAGACCACATCTATCTTGACGTCACCCCCAGTCAATAACCATGTCATACGCGAGAACTGCACTTGAGGTGCACGTTCACACCAGCACATCTCAGTTAACAGCCACACAATCATTTTTGAACCGCTCTTTCATCCGGTATTCAACCGATCGGGATCAAGCTATGATACTTGTCTTTGGACACTCAGCTGGTTGGAACGGTGGTAGGACGGACATCGAGCCGAGGCGTCTGCCAGGATTATGTAGTGCACTCATCCGTTTCACTCATTCGATCAATCAATCCGTCAGGTTTGATATTCCGATGAGATAAGCTTGTTACACTGTTCTGTTGGTTACCATAGTATTGCTTACTTCGCGCTCCATCGAATGTAAGTGTACGCACCGACACACGCGCGCACGCACGCACGCACGCATGCGTGGATGGGGAAGCTACGCTTGGTTTAGTTTAGTCTTAGAAAAGGAGGAGAATGAAATTGTGTGTGTGTGCGCGCTTATTTAACAAAAGTCACGTTACTCGAGTTAACAGTACGCATGGGTAACAGATTCACTTCGCCTTGGCTTGGTCACATGCTCCAACTGAACCTATTTCGATCCCAATAAGTAGATAGTTTAGTAAAGTTCGACATTCCAACCGTGTTCACTGATACGTTGGTTCGGATTGCCACAGCGACGGTAAAAGACACGGATAGGTCCCAATAGCCGCCTGTACATTCCATGTACGATGGAATGAACCAGTAAATTCGCGCTTTAACCATTGAGCCATCTCACCCGCAGTGGTTAAGGCATACTTACTGACCGGAAGATCCGATCGAACTCCAGCATCTCGACTGTTCCTGTGTAGGCTTGTACAATCTGGCAGTATCGGAGCCCTCATGCTTCCTCTTGGTGGCGTGATAACTAAGCACGAAAAGAATGTTACAGCTGATGGAACGATCCATCCAACCGGTTGGTGGGTTAACCTATGGTTGTGTGTTTGCTTGAACGGGTATCTTGACCTTGGTCGCATGTATACACTGGTGATGTAAATAACGCGACTGACGTTTCGCTGTGATCACCTGACGGACGACAGTGGAAACAAACACGCAAGCCATGTTATATTACGTCAACGACAGTGGCTTAACACACGGTTGTTTGTGTTCGTGTCCCAATGAACCAAGAACTATTCGATTCATGGATTATCGTACCTTCTCTGTTGGTACCATGGCGTCCATTCGATAACTCGTCTTCAGCCGCCTGTGACTGCGAGATGGCTCAAGTGGCTAGAGCGCGAATTTACTGATCAGAAGATCCGTGGTTCGAACCCGACCCTCACCTCTCGACTTCCCTGTCTAGGCTTGGGCAACTTGGCTTCCTTCGGGTGGCATGGCAGCTAGGCACCGGAAGGATGTTGCACCTGAATAATATATTTATATTATAGCTGCCTGTACTGACTGGCCGTTCTGTTCCTTCGAACTCAATGCGTCCTACACTCGGAAGTGCAGAGTATGATTTACAGCCACACCAGATGCGCCTATCCGACAATCCTTCATGCGGCGGCCGGTTGGGGGCGGAAATGCATCGGGGTATACAGAACAAAGTGCCATAATTACTTCGGATGGTCTCTTCCGAGAACAACGACCATCACAAGGTACCCCGTTCGTTGTCACTGAAAAAAAATAAACAAATAATCAAAAGTCAAATGATGGATGAAACACAAATCATGAGGTTGAACCGCTCTCTTCTTTCCTGGCTAGACCACGAAACACGCATCCATATAGATTGAACTTCTAAAAAAAATTCAAATCGTTTAGCTATAGTACCTTTTCGGTGCCCAGTTACCATGCCAACGGAAGTAGTCACGAGGGCTGGAGCGAGATGACCAGAAGGTCTGTGGTTCGAACCCGACCCCTGACCCTCGTCTTACCCTCTCTAGGCTTGGGCGACCTTGCAGTATCCCACCCCTCGTGCTTCCTTCGGGTGGTATGGCAGTTAGACACCGAAAGGGTGCTACATTTGAATGATTTTTTTTCAAGCGACCAACTGGGCTTCGAAGATTCAAGTGACATCGCGTTTGTATGGACAAACTTAGACTCGTGACCGCTCTGTGTGCTGTAGAACAGCGTGCAGACCTCTCTTAAGCCACTCGCAACCACGGGAAAATGTGGGAAACAATGACTAGTTGTGCACGTGCGAAATAACCTCATTTGGTTTTTGGTACTCCACATTTCTTGTCCATATGTAGAGCCTCAACCACAGTTAGGAACTTATCGTTGAAATTGTGCACAAGGTCTTAAGCATTCTTGACTTTCTGAAGCATGTGGTTCAATAAAAGAGATCCTTTATGGAGATTACCCGAGGGGAGCCAACACTCGTTTTTTCTCCGTAGTCTCAATGAGGCGATTCGATCCGTTAACTAATCTCGCACAAAGCCTTTTCCTGTTGACATTCATTCATCCACATTCATCCCTAGGCTACATTGGTGTGGTCAACCGGAGCCAACGAGACATCGATGGCCACAAAGATATTAAAGCAGCTCTCGCAGCGGAACGCAAGTTCTTTCTCACGCACACGGCTTACCGCCACATGGCCGATCGAATGGGCACACCATTTCTACAAAGTACCTTGAACCAGCAGCTGACCAATCACATTCGAGATACGTTGCCGGGGCTGCGGAACAAGCTACAATCGCAAATGTTGGCTATCGAGAAAGAAGTGGACGAGTACAAGCACTATCGTCCCAGTGATCCTTCGTTCAAGACAAAGGCGTTGTTACTGTGAGTTTCTTCTGCGAGTCTCCGTTGTTCGCATGTTTTTTTTCATCAGCAAGGTCTCTTTGTATCGGGATTAAAGTCAACCAGACCATGGAATGATTTGTTGGTTGATTGGAGAAGAGTCTCTACATTTGCGTGTAGGTCAGCACTCGAATTACGTCCCTTCGTCGTAAGTTCTAGACACAGTAATCTGCCCAAACGAGACAGACTGATTCCCAAGAGTCCACAGCCACAAGATTTCTATAGGGTTGCCCATCTCTGGAGAGAGGGTCAGGGAGTATATGACCTTCCTTCTCCGAAGCACGATGTCCCCCTGATCTTCCATTCTCAGTGATGATTGATTCAAATCTATTAATCATATTATGGTCGGTCGTTGTGGACTATTTATATACTATCTATTGTTTTTTACGGCGGCTTGTATGCTAGTGGACGCAGAGCCCTCGTCGGCAATCCCACACAAGTGGTAGATACCGGTGCCTAAATGCCGCACGACGATGAGAGGTCAATGCTCCCATGGCTGTCACGAAGAGACTGGACCTTGCTGTGGTGTGACGGTTTGCGCACCTCAGGGAGTGTCTTCGTGACGCTCACAGAGTCTCTCATGCCAGTTTGGTCCATGGGTAGAGCTCTGACGAACACAGTCTCCCGGCCCTCCATGTTGGGGGTTGGAACATGTGGCGACTTATTCTGTAGAAATGGTAATGCATTTGCATTTCTGGCCCAACACCGCAGCCTTGCCGTCAGGCTTTTTCGCCAAAGACTTTGGCTGAGGACCCTAATCGTCCTCCTGTCTAGGTGTGGGCTTCCTGGCAGTATCCCAGCCCTCGTACAACCATGACAGTACGGCAGTGAAGCATCGGTGTTGAACACTGATGTCATGCTGTCAATGATGATGACGAAGTTCGCATGAAAGGATTGAGCGAAAGAGAAAAGGGTAGGGACTTATTTCCTTAGGGAATTGATCGCAAACAAGTTGCTCACACCTTCGAAAAGTACTGAAATCTGACACATTTGAACATCGTGTCTGGGTAAGAAGTCGTAAATTATGCGTTTTTGAAAGACCTGACAACTTTGTGTCTGTCATTTTCGCAACCGGATGTTGGATTCTGTACATCACGTTCGAAGAGGGTTCATCCTTCACGGGGGACCAGAAACTATCTCCTTTCGGTGTTTATTATTAGGTGAGTGTTGATCACACTTGTTCGAAACGCTCTTCATTATGGTGAGCGATTCGTCATGGTGGGTTGCGGATACTTACAAAAACGTTTTACCCCGCTTAGTGAAATGCAGCTATCTTCGTCAAATCTAACAATCTCGAGATAACACGCAACGTTAAGGTTACCGCAGCCCAGCTGGGTTGTCCTTTCGAACACTTGAGTCAATCTGACAACATCTCAGTCTATGTGTACTTTTTCCGGGTCGCATAATCGACGTATGCCGAAAAGATGAATGTTTTAACGAATATACACTCATTTGCAAACTAATTTGTTTTTTTCGAGAGACTCGCGATATCTCGAATATCGTAGCGACTGAAACATGAGGCGGTCTGGTGCAGCACATTCAGTTGCCTGAGAACATCACATCAGCTTAGCTCCGGGTGGGTCTCTGGAAGAACCAAATTAGTTTGCAAATGAGTGTATATTCGCTAATTTGGTTTCAAGTAGACCATAAAGTTGACGGAAACTCGGGGGCTGCGCCTACCTGATGAGCCCCAAGAAGGGCGAAACCGGTCGAGGAGTTTTCAGCAACCCTATGAGTAGTGCATTACAAAAGGGAATGCTTTAATCTTTTCTGTCGGTGTTCTCCATAGAGTGCAACATTTCAACAGTTCAGACGCTTTATGTGGTAAAAGTTCGCCTTTCGTTTTTCGAGTCTCACGATCTGCGGTTTGGGACAAGTAAACACAATTGATTGCTATGTGAACTGCTCCTTGGTGCATCACACCCATTGTGACACATGGTCCTACCCCCATCCGTTTCTTTACAGCACAGTCCAAAGTTTTGAGAATGATTTCCATCAGGCCATCGATGGTGGGGGTGCGGAAATCGATACGAAAACTCTGTCAGGTGGAGCTCTGATCAATCGTATCTTCCATGAACGATTCCCCTATGAGTTGGCTATGGTAGGTGCACTTTGCAGTTTATCCGTACAAAGTCGATCAATGAATCATGCTCTGTCTCGAACTTGGTCATTCTAATTTGTTCCAGCCAAATACTTTTGGTTAGGAACAACCCAAATGATGTGTTATAAATTCTGTGCGGCCGATTTTGTTGTAATGTTATTGGAAACTTACCAGTCAATGGTGCACTACGCATGAGGCCTGAAGGGAGCCATAACAGGCCATAAGTGAGCCATTGCGGCAAACGCCACATGTGGGTGGCAAGCAGCGATTTACCGGTCTCATCCGCAACCATACTCTCAGAAAGACTGTCTTCTTGTGTTTTCCCAAGCTAACTAACGAGGTAAGATTCTGGTCCCCGACTTTGTTTGATTGAGGGGGTGAGATGGCTCAATTGGCTAGAGCGCGAATTTACTGACCGGAAGGTCCGTGGTTCGAACCCGACCTCTGCCGCTCGACTTCCCCTGTCTAGGCTTAGGCAACTTGGCAATATCCCAGCCCTCGTGCTTCCCTCGGGTGGCATGGCAGCTAGGCACCGGAAGGGTATAACAACTGAACGGTTTTTTGTTTGATCACAAACGGAACCACGAGATGTATCTGCTAGTCACGCGCACAGATTGACCGTCTTCACTTGTTTATTCCTTTCTGCAGATCCAAACAGACGAAGAGGAACTACGAAAGGAAATTAGCTACGCCATTCGAAACATTCATGGAATTCGGTAAGTACAGCCATGTTTCATATCACACCCTAACCGACCATTTTACCGACTTCCAGCTGATAGTAACCCGACCAACGCGGTACGCATACTTTCGTTTGGTTCCGCTCATCCCAACTATCCGGTTACTAGGATGAAGCCGGAATTGAACCATTCCTCACGCTCATGTCTGGAATTACAGGAAAATCCCGTTATTCAGTGGACGCATATCGGCGCACGCGTGCTTTCGGGGATCCCCAAAACATTTGTTGCTACCAATTAGATGGTATGTAGATGTTAGACGAGATGGCCCAAGTGGTTAGAGCGCGAATTTACTGACGGGAATATCTGTGGTTCGAACCCGATCAGGTACCAGGTTGCCTAAGCCTAAACAGGGGAAGTCCAGTGGAAGAGGTCGGGTTCGAACCACGGAAGTTCCGATCAGTGGATTCGCGCACTAACCGCTTGGGCCACAAGACAGTGAAACTCATACACTGTCTCGTAAATGAAGCATCGCTCACAAATCCCAACGTTCGCGGTAAACGGGTGAAATGACTGTGACTCTTTTCAACAAATTATCGTGCCCCTTCTTTGATTTCCTTCTCACGAAACCAGTCCCATCGGTGAGTCTTCATCTACATTTATTTGCTACGGCATTTGGGCAGGATCATCGTCGTTCTCTACTCGTTTTGTTCACACCGATGAACTTCACGGCGCCAATAAAGCATTGGCTATCGGGACTCAAAGAATTTCTAAGCACAGCGGGAGAGAGTAATCCCGGGACAGTTTAGGTTTCGTAGAGACGCGGACAGGTGCACGGTTCTGCAAACCAGAGTTAGAACGGTCACACCAACTTTGTGAGGTCGGTCGCTGATGAGATAATTATGTATCATTCTGGGACTGTCTGAGCGACCTGGTCCAGAACACTCCACCAAACGTTGTCTATCCACCCATGGAAGTTTTTTTTTAAAAGTCCTCGGGTGAATGCTCAGCGCGACCACCCACGTCTCGTTTTCTCGCGAGCACCGAGATAGTCATCGAGCAGTCAATTCGTATTTCTACCGAACGATCTACGATATGGAAGCACGTTGCAGTTCGCTTGTTTTTTTTTAATTTGATTTTGGACTCACAAGACCGGTCTCCTAACAACCGCTCATTCAACGCACACCCCGGTTGCAAGGCATATTTATTCAGGCTCAACTGACTGATTGGGAATCAAATTCCAACCTGCGATTTCAAATAGCGTCTCCATATCTCAATCGACACAATGCGCCGCGCGGTTGCTAGCACCCTATCTGATCAGGATTTCGATTTTCATTTTTTCGAATTTGTTTGCTTTTTCTGTTTAGTTTAGCATCATACCTGACTTCTCCCTCCCCCCACAGCACTGGTTTGTTCACACCGGATTTGGCCTTTGAAACGATCACTCGCAAACAGATTGAGAAGATGAAAGTCCCATCCGTCAAATGTGCTGACTTGGTGGTGAACCAACTGACCGAAGTGGTTCATGCTTGCACCAGTCGGGTGAGTCTTCAGCTCCGTTTCGCACTCCCATCGCCAGGCAGTTTGTTCAGATGTCGTCTCCCTTAGGAGGAAGCATTCGTGAGGTTTTCGCATTTTTAGGGTTGAAGAATTTGTCTCGATTACATTTACAGGTCTTTTGTCAACTTACTGCACCAAGACAAAGTTTAGAGCAACAAGTGTGCAGAAATTTCTCGGCGCCTAGCAGTGAAAGGAAGGCCTTCGCCAACTGACCAGTTACAGACTATTAGACGGGGGAAGCAAAACTCTCATATGCATCTTATTTACAAAAACTGAACATCCATCTTCTCTTGAACACGTCTTCCTGAACTTTCCTGGATATCCGTTGACTGTTGCTCAAATCCAAGCAAGTACGACTCCACAATTTCCGTAATAGATTTCACTTTTCAAGATATGCAAAGCGGATTTACAAGAAAATATACTCCTTGCATGCCCCCCATCAGTAGTATCACCGTTACACCAGTAGGACATCAGGTAGTGTGTGGACTTAGCGCATCAACAGCACCGTCGTCAGTTCATTTTTGCGATTTTTCACCGTAAAATATCAATTGTTCAAGGCAAGTCCGACTTTGAAAAGGAAGGTGAAGCGGGATTCGGAAGGGTCTTTATATTACACCTGCGTCAGAGAATGTGAGCAGCAACTGCCAGCAAGAACACCATCGAAAGCGGTTCGCGTCGTTTTCTTGCAGTCCGTTCAGCCGCGCGAAATATCAGATTACGAAACCTTATCATCCATCAGCCAAGCTGCCAGCAAGAACACCATCGAAAGCGGTTTGCGTCCTTTGCTTGCAGTCCGTTCAGCCGCGCGAAAGATCAGAGTTTACGAAACCTCATCATCCGTCAGCCAATTTTTTCACGGTTGCTCTGAAACTCATTCATCAAATCTGTCGTGATCGACTGTACCTATGGTCACATATCACGACCAGTTCATTGCAATGCCGTGATCAGCTGATTATTGTGATGACAGGTCGATCGATATATTGGCAGAATTCCCACTCGTTTGGCAGTTACTATTGACCCGTCAGTGGTTGGGTGTCTCGGAACATCCGGTTGCTGTGTATGCATCTTCGTTTGACTGGTTAGGACGCTTCCCACCCGTTTAGCTGTGCAGTATGATGCTGTATCATAGTGCGCCCCGAAATTCAGTACTCAGCCCATGCTCCCGGTGGGATAGTTCGATTTATCTGCTACCAACAACATCCCCTCACCCCTCTGTTGTCACATGACTGCGTTCTCATCATCAGTACATGGCCTCAAAGGGGAAGGCAGATTAGGGCGCCACAGGAGAAACACGCCAAGAAACTAAGATTTGAACGCTCATAGGACCCGATTTGGTAGACCCCAAAGATCAGTGGCTCAGTGGTTAGGGCTCGAATTTACTGGCCGGAAGGTCCGTGGCTCGAAGCCGACCTCTGCCTCTCGACTTCTTCTGTCTAGGCTTGGGCGACTTGGCAGTATCCCAGCCCTCGTGCTTCCTTCGGGTACCGAAAGGGTGTTACAGCTGATTCTTATTTTATTATTTGAGGGTCAAAATCCATCTGAGTTCGTAAAATAGCATCAGACATTCAGTGAGTTATCATATTTTTCCCATAATCAGATGTCGGTCCCGATCCCTGGACGAGCGTTTGACTCACTCTCATTTGCATACGATTGTGCGTCTTTTGGCAGCTACTGTTTGTCGCATGATCCCTCTAGACTAAATCGTTTGGATCGCCAAGTGACCCTCGTAAATAAGCGCAGTGCTTTCGATCTAGAAGGCACACACCGAAATCGTATCATTTGAGGAACTCCTGACATTGGTTTACACTAAAAATTCCATTCGTGTGCACCCCTCATGGACATGTTTTAAGTATTTGATACCTACTTGATTTGCTTCGGAACAGGTGTGTGAACCTTCACCGGACAACCGTAGCACTGACTAGCAGAACAAAGGTGCTGCATGTTCGAACGGGATTGGAACCAATTTATGGACCGTCTGGACCTTGTAGTGGCTCTCAGGACACACCATGGTGTGCCTTGATCGGCCGTTTAAACCCAAATTACAGCGCGTTTATTCTACTTTCTGGTTAGGGCGCACATTCTGCATTTCAGGGGGCAAGATGGACCAAGTGGTTAGAGCGCGAATTTACTGACCGAAAGCTCCGTGGTTCGAACCCGACCTCTGCCTCTCGACTTCCCCTGTCTAGGCTTGGGCAACCTGGCCGTATCCCAGCCCTCGTGCAACCTCAAGATGGCATGACAGTTAGGCACCGAAAGGGTGCTACAGCTGAACGATCATGTCCGAAAGTGGCAAGGCTGAATTATCAGCAAGCTAGGTCGACCTACTCTATATCTATAGTTAATTTATCGGCCTCAGCTGTGAGAGGGACAGACAGATGAGCGGGGTACATCCCTTCATAGATTTATCCGCTGTTCCGGGGAACTGAGTGTAGTGTAAGTAATTGGTTGTGTCCTTGAGCTGCCCGGCCGGTTAAATCCTAAAGTTGTTCTGGTCTACTCGACAACAATTAATCGTATTTGTACAATCCCCAGTAAGTTCTGCTCACGTGCATCATTTTTGTCGTGCGTATTCAGTCGTAAAAAAGAAAAGCTGATCGTTCAGCTGTGCCATGCCACCCGAAGGAAGCACGAGGGCTGGGATACTGCCAGGTTGCCCAAGCCTAGACAGGGAAAGTCGGCATCGAACCACGGTCCTTCCCGTTCGCGCTCTAACCACTTGGACCATCTCGCCCTCAGTGTTCAATCGTATCAGCTGGACAATTATAAAGAAACCCCAAGGTTTCGAAAAATTGGGATTTTGGGATTCTCCATTGGCTGGAATCACCGTACAAGCAATATAAAGAAGGATATTCCGAAAATTCCCATTTATAACAAGAACACAGATGGGTTGATGAACATGTTTTCGGCAAGGTCTTTTCAAGTCATACAATTGCAAAGGTTAAGAGAGCAGTATTTAACATATTTGAATGAGCACGGTGTAAATGAACAGGAAATCGAGTGAGACGACATTGGTTTCCCATCAGGTCACCAATAGGATGACTTGAGCTGGTCAGCGTGAGGGGTGCTGTAGTTGTGTGTTCAGCACAAGGGGATGTGAGTTGGGCCATGGTAAGTACAATACACGAACAAAACGTTTTTGCCGACAAAGGATCGGGTCGCGATGTCGTATGGCGATAGCTTCAGGCACTGCAATTGTGCCCTGCTGTACTTAGCTGAGTTGATTAGCTGGTGCTCTGAAAACAGTGCGGAAGCTTTGGCTGGGTATCACGTTGTGTGCAGTGTCAGCTAAATGTTGTACTACAGAGCTGGTTATCGTCCTCCTAGTTCCAGGCAAGCTAGCCAGGGTGAATTGTGTTCCTTCATTCTTTGGCCGAGTTGCTTAGTCGTGCGTCCGATGTTAGTATACTCATTCTCTTGCTGTTGTGCAGCGGTATACATCGTCTCACTCGATTTCTTGTCCATTTATGCCGTACTCATTCAAATACGTTAAATACTGCTCTGTTAACCTTTGCAATTGTATGACTTGAAAAGACCTTGCCGGAAAGAAAGGTATGTTAATACGGAAACAATTTCCTTATGCCCAATCCCAGGTTTGATGGATATGTCTTGGCATTTAGCTCGCCTGGTCTCCTGCTTTAGGCACACATTGTCTGGGCCCGACTGAATATGGCACGGGATACAAAAACCGTGTGCTTAGTCACCACAAATCTGCGTACCAGCATCCTTGTTTCACATTACCCCAATCAATTGTTGCCTTTTCCAGCCGTAGTCACACACGGTTTATGCGTGCAGTGTGTTTGGTTTGGATGACGCAGCCCATGATTACCCCGTTTTTCCCCTCACCTCCCCCATTCACCTTGTTGTTTTTGTTGCGGTTTCATACAGATGGAAAACTTTCCACGCCTTCGCGAGGAAACCGAGCGTATTGTGAATCAGTGGATCCGCGAAAGAGAAGTACGAGCCAAGGAACAACTCATTCTGTTGGTCGATATTCAATTGTCCTATATGAACACAAATCACGAGGATTTCATTGGGTTCGCCAAGTAGGTTTTTAGTTGCCGCTCTCGGCTTTCTCAGTCCCACGTGATCGTCTGGCGCTTCCACAGGTTATTTCTTATTTCTTCTCAGTTTATGGATGAAGGGGAAGGCCATAACCTACATGTTCGGATCTGCTTTTCGTCTTGAGTTCTAGTCAGTCATGTGCTGAGCTAGAAATGATATCGTACGAATTAATTGATGGGATCCCATGTGACTTGTTTTGTAAACAGACCCACAAGCGCATCGACTAAGCCCTTTCTCCAGGTCGTAGTCCAGTGCCAACGTTCAAAGACTCGAACCCCGTGAACCGTGTCAAACATTCTACGCACATTGCTTTCGATCGAAAGCTTTAGGTGTATCGGGGGCGAGATGGCTCAAATGGATAGAGCGCGAATTTACTGACCGGAAGGTGCGTGGTTCGAACCCGGCCTCTGCCACTCGACTTCCCCTGTCTAGGCTTGGGCGACCTGGCAGTATCCCAGCAACCTTCGGGTGGCATGGCAGTTAGGCACCGGAAGGGTGCTACAGCTGAACAATTTCTTTTCCTCTTTAGGTGTATCCTTTTGAGGCCCACATTCTTTGGCTTTTTTCTGTCGTCCTATATCCTACCACGTCATCTGCCCTGTTCTCTCACGAAGGCTGTTATGTCGAAATGACCGTGAACCATTTACTCTACCGAATATTTCATTTTACTCCTCATTGGTGGTACTTTCTTTCGAGCTGCTTTGCTGTTCATGTGACGATAGACAGTGTGAGTTGTTGTCATCAGCTTTCATCTGTTCCCTTATTCACCCTTCCTCTGTGCACTGTTTCTTATTTCTTAAGAATGTGGTGTGGTGGGTCGTAAGTTGTCATCCCCTTTCGCGTGTGGATTTTTTGCGCCATGCTTTTTGCGTTACCATTTCTGTGTGGGTGTGTGTGTGTGTTTGCCCGCGGCGATGTTTGCTCTTTGTTGCAAAATCGCCGAGTGGTGATCGCATCTTCAACTCTGTACGTCCTCAACATACGCTGGTGTTCACACATCGTGGTCAATGTCTTCTGATTTGTTTGTGATTCGCGTTCCCAAACAAACCATATAGAAAATTCCGGGACCTGAACACCCATCCGCTCGAATCCTTTTGTAGGTTGTCCCCGTTGAAGTGTATTTCCAAGCTGGTAGCCACAGAAACGGCTTTTACGACAGTAGCCACACTGTGCAGTTGTTCGGTTTCCTTGGTGGAACCACCGCACAGAGCTTTGCTTCATCTGCAGTACAAGATATCCCCATTTCAAAATCTCCCCATACTGGCGCCAAACTGTAGCTAGCCTCACTGCCGGCTGGGATCACCTTTCTTTATCGTCTAGCCAGTATGACCATTTTTAAAAGCAATTATTGCACTTTGCCATCGTTCACTTCCTAAATGGCTTTTCAACTGGTGTTATTATCCTGGGGGACATGGCTGCTGAACTCGTGGGAGTTTTATTTGATTTGCCAATCCTGGCCCTTGAGGACCTAATGAACAGCCAAGATGTTGCCAAAGTGCCGAATCTCACCGTGAACAGTACACGGAGTAGGCAAGACTGGGCTAACTCCTCAGGTCTTGTTTATAACCCGGATTCAGTTGACTCACACCTTCCAGTGTTTTTAACACTAGATCTATGCGATTTAGATTGGTCATTTAGCTACAGTCAGTTGGGAAGAAAGCATACACGATTAGAAATAAAAGATAACGATCAGCTTCCCGTTTGAGTTCGAGATGGTTCAGGGTTTAAGGAGCGGACGTACTGGCCGAAAGGGTCGTGGTTCGAATCCTGTCTAGACTTTGGCAACTCGGCAGTTTTCGTGCCTCCTTCGGGTGGCATGGCAGTTGGGCACCGAAAAGCTGATACACTTGAACGATTTTTCTATTATTTGGCTAGCGCGTTGCAATTACGGACATCTAGCCTTCGATAAAGTTAGTAAGTTCAGTTTATCACAAGTCCCAGGTAATCATCGGAAACACAGTAGAGGGGAATCAATCATAAACCTTCATCTCCGACGTTGTAGGTCGGATGAATTGCCTCTGAGGAGCATGTAAATGGATATACTCTCTTAATTTTATGCTACAACCGAACACCGAAACTCAACGAGGCCATTCGACAGCCGTCAGCTGTGTGCGGGTATGAATTGCACTCAGACAGGCCAATCCACCACTCTTCATCCTATCACATAACTTGGTATTGATCGCCTTCCTCAAGGTGATTACAAACAGCTGGTCCAAACATTTCCACAGTAAACTCATCCTCTCCCAATTAATACACTTTAGCTAACAGTCAGCCATGTGTGTGTAGCTGTACACGAAACACCTGAGGTCCTTTTCTGTCCACACTCTATTTTCTGCTCAAACGCGACAATTGTGGATTGGTTAAAATACTAATAACTCATTCTTTCGATTGCCCGTTTTCTCACACCTATTACTTGACGTACTTCCTGTTCGGTTTGTTATGCGCTACAGGTGTGACGGTAACTCCACGGTAATCGATAAAATTTTGGTGCACCCCTGAGTAATTTCCTCACTTGTAATTCGATCGCGCTTGTATATCAGAACTTTGTCGCGCTGGACTCTATCCGAATTGTAGGTGCACACTACCGCGTACTATTTTCTCCAATAACGTGTTTTGGGATGAAAACCCCCCTGTCACCTGTGTGATTCATCATCATCATCGACAGCATGACATCAGCGTTCAACACCAAGGCTTCACTGCCGTACAAGCGTGCTTTATTTGAAAGCCTTATTGTAAAGAAAAGAGTAAAGGTGGACAGGTAAGGGACTTAGTGCTAGCCTAACACCATCATTCCGAGGTGCCTTCACCTCCAAACATTCACTCAGGCAATCTGGATAGAAACTGACAACAAGAACGCCACTGACATCGGTTGGCAGCCATATCTTGTAGTGTCTCCAACCAGGCACAGTGAGGATCACGCGGTCCCCATCCTGGAAGGCGAGTAGCACCGACAACACCCAAGTGTCTCGTGGTCTCCTTCATACTCCTCTGCCAAGTCAAGGGTTGGCCACCTCTCTGCTTACGCCACCCTGTATTGGGAATGGAAAACCACTCTTTTCGGCAAGCGATGGTTCAGCATACGCAACACATGTCCCAACCAACGCAGCTTCTGGTGCTGGACACATTCTTCAATGGAATTACCCGTTACACAACCGAAAACGCGCTTTCCAACTGCCTCATTACGGATTTGGTGACATCAACCCACACGAGCTATGGTTCTGTGGGTTGGTGTCGGCGAATCCGTAACGAGGCAGTTGGAAAGCGCGTGTGATTGATGTTAGATTGATCCGAAACAAGGGATTTTGCACAAGCATGTCGAGCAGTTTTCAGCAACCTTATGAGTAGTGTATTACTTTATGCAGTGTCATAATTCTCTTAAACCCATGAGGCTGAGTTCTCGTTTATTCGGCGAGAAAGGAACCGTGACCAGTAGTTCGCTGAACCGGCCTTGTAGTCTGTTTGGACAGGTGTATCAATTGTTAGGAGCAGTAACACACATCGAAAACCTTCGATTCGAACCTACAGCCGTCGTTTACTCAACCTCGTGACCTTGTATTTGAACCGACCATAACCTCCCCTAGTTTTGTAATCTACTATTCATAAGGTTGACTCCGTCGACAGCAACCTTATGAGTAGTACATTACAAAGATACACATGTACCGCGATATTTCAAATATCGCAGCGACTGAAGCATGAGGCGGCCTGGTGCAGGACATTCAGTTGCCTGAGAACATCACAAACGAGAGATTCAGCTGGGTTTCAAGTGAGTCTCTCGAAAAACCAAATTAGTTTGCAAATGAGTGTATACTCTCCTAGTTTCTTCGTCTGTTTACCCCCCTGTGTACGCAACGGTATTGGCTGTAGCCAACATATCATCGATGCGTGGTTTACGACCGTTGTACTAAGCAAGCATTAACAATTGACTAGGATTGCACCGCATTGCACAAGCTTGCGCTTCCGGCTTAGTCAACGCTCACCATAAAAAGTACATTCTGTTATCCTCCCACGCAATCAAGTCGTGAGACCGAATGCTTTTCCATCACTAACCCCTTCAACCAACTCGTTCACTTTCAATTGCGTGTTCCTGACTGCGATGTCGCTCAGACTCACCCATCAGCTTTTACTGGCCCTTTGGTCCTGCGAACCCATCCCACTTAATTTCTCCCCAGAAAACTTTCGTCATCTATTCTGGCGATCCGCTTCCGTTGATGAGAATGGCATGCGCGCTTTGTTCTGCTGTCTTTTAGAGGTTCTTTCAATTTTCGCTAAAAGGAAGACAAGATCATTCCCACGTCATCCTGTTTTTTTTTCAAGCCATCTAAGCTGTTCAGCTGCTGCATTTCTGTTGATGACAGTGAAACAGAATGTAGACGCGTCGGCTTTGGATGCCTATCTCTCCCAACATACGCACTGGCTACGACGCTGTGGCTCACACTACCTGTTCGTCTGTGATTGGCAAAGTCAAAGAGATATCAAACTCAGACAGTCCAATCGTCTAAAGCACCATATATGTGTAATCTTATATTAAACCAAGTAAACGTGTGTATGGCATTTAAGCACCAGTGTTCTCATCTGGTGTTGACGACGATGGAGATGTTTGTTCAGTAAACCTCGAATTCGCCATAGCCTAGATAACTGCTGTCATATTTGTGTCCGAAACTTCTCGTGATTCTACTCAGTGCATAATTTCCTCACGCACGGACGTGACCTGTTCATCTCCATGGGGGGTGTCCACTAGAGATACCTTTTTTTCACCCGTTCCTTATCTTCCGGATAGCTCGGCATGTCTATCAATTTGTCATCACACATCATGGAAGTCAAATCTTGCTTCGCTCTTTTTCGGGAACTTTTTTGTTTCACAAACTGTTCATCTCTATCTCTGTGCCTTTGCGAATTTTTTAACCCGCAAGTGTACAAAGGTCCGGTTAACGTCTATCCCAATCGAACTCGAGGTTCATGTTATTTCGCAGACGTCCCGTGACCTTGGCTCCCCTTCCTTTGCAGTTCAGATCTTTGTAAT